AATATTTTGCCATATTAATTAAATTTGTAAGCCATTTTTGGAACATAGAATCTGGAATCTCTGGTGGATAATAAACTTGGAGTATTGATAAAAGACCTTCCCATACTTGTTATATTTGTAATGGTTATCTACAATATAAAATCATTCATCTTCATTCACTTTTTTCCAATCTTTCATGAAATGTGAATTCTTACAGCCAAATCTTCCATGTCTTTCCAATATCACCTTCTCAGTACTGCTCCTGTGCTCTTTGTTTGAGAAAGGTCTCCATTGTAATGAGAAGTAAGAGCAAAAAAAATGAAAAGAAGAATTTATCTGACTTGCTAGACTCAGGTGAATACATCTTCCAAATCTAACATATTATACCATGCTATGGACATCAGCAAAAAGGAAAAATAAAAATCACAGGTCCACCATTGCCTTACTAAGGTATGGTGTGGCCATGTGCTCTGTGAGCTATGGCCAGGCCATATTCTCTTAAGTTTAGACCCCCTTCCCTACCAGGGAAGGTAAATCTCCTCTTTCTTTCTCTCTCCCTACAATTTCCTTTATAAATAAACTTTATTTTCTAATTTAAAAAAAAACCAAAAATCTTAACTTCATCAACATAACAATTTCACATAATATAGATAAAATTGCCTTTCTGAGAACTCCAATAAATAGGTCAGAATCCCAAGTGAGTACAACATCAAAAAGAGCTACTTGGAAGAGGAAGTTCTGTAATTCCAGTACTTTGGAGGCTGTGGTCAGAAAATTGCATAATCTCAGGGTTCAAGACCAGCCTGGGCAACTTGATGATACGTCGTCTCTATAATATATTAAAATATAAATCGGGCATGATAACACATGACTGTAGTTCTATATAATTGGAAGGCTGAGGGGAAGGATCACCTAAGTTCAGCAGGTCGAGGCTGCAAGGGCTCTGAGCATGCCACTGCACTCCAGCCGGGTGACAGAGTGAGACTCCAACTCAAAAATAATTAAGAGAGTGTCAGCCATTCATGGTGACTCATGTCTGGGATCCCAGAACCTTGTGGATGCTGAGACAGGAGGATCACCTGAGCCTAGTAGTTCAGGACAAGCCTAGTCAATAGAGTACAGCAAACATTATTACCTCAAAATAAAAATTATCCGGGCACGGTGGCATCAGCCTGTAATCCCAGCTACTCAGGGGCTGAGGATTGGAACAATCACTGGATCCCAGGAGCTCAAGGCTGTTGTGAACCTTGATTGTGCCACTGCACAGCAGCCTGGGTAAGAGAAAGAGACCCTGACTCAGAAAACAAAGGATCTTACAAAAAGGTTTGGAAACCCTTCTAGATATTGATCTTGGCAATGATTTTGTTGATATGTCACCAAAACTGTAGTCGCAAAAGCAAGCATAAACAAGTTGGACTACATCAAACTAAAAAACTTCTGCTGAATGAACAATAAGAAGGCTTATAGGGAGAGAAAGGATTTGCAAGCTATGTGTTTGATAAGTCAATATCCAAAATTTATTTGGAAGTCATATAAATTAAAGGTAAAATAATACAATGATAAACAATTTACTGAAAAATAGGAAAAGAATGCTATTTTCAAAGAATAAACACAACTACCAACAAGTGTATGAAACAGTGGTCAGCATCACCAATCGCCAGGCAATTGCCAATCAAAACAATGATGAGTTTTCCTTTTTTCTTTTTTTTAGATAACAGACTTATTTCTGAGACTCCGTTGCAATTATAAGTAAGTTACGAGCTCTACTCTACATAATTCTCATTCTGGGACCTAAGCTAAAGAAACAACACTTTAGCTGGGCTCTGTGGCTCAGTCTGTAATCCTTCGCTTTGGGAGACTGAGGTGAGTAGATTGCATGAGCCCGCAGGTTCGAGACCTGCCTGGGCACTTGGTGAGACCTCATCTCTACAATAGATCAAAAAATTACCTGGGTGTTGTAGTGCACACCTGTAGTTCCAGCTACTTGGAAGGCTGAGGCAGAAGAAACGCTGAAGCCCAGTGGGTCGATGCAGCGGTGGCCGGCAGTGGACACTGCACTCCAGTCTGGGTGACAGAGTGACACTCCAAGGAAAAAAAGAAACAACACTTTCTGGAATGTTGTCAATCTGTGGGAGAGGGAAAAGAATTAGTGAGACACATATTGCTGGGCTCGGTGGCTCAGCCTGTAATCCCACACCTTGGGAGGCTGAGGTGAATGGTTTTCCTGAGCCTGTGGGTTCGAGACCCGTCTGGCAACTTGGTGAGACCTCATCTCTACAATAAATCAAAAAATTAGCCCAGCGTGGCAGCACACACCTGTAGTTCCAGCTACTTGGAAGGCTGAGGCAGAAGGATCGCCGGAGCCCAGCAGGTTGAGGCTGACGTGGCTGGGAGCGGCCACTGCACTCCAGTCTGGGCGATAGAGTGAGACACTGATTCAAAAACAAAAAAAGAACCCCATCATATTCTCATACTTTCACCGAGAATCTTGAATAGATTTCTACTTGAGAACAACAGTTCACAAATATGCAATCGTAAAATGCAATGCCCTCTGTTGAAAATTTTATGATTAAATTTTTGCAGTAGTTGAAAACTGCTGGTAGCAGTGCCGGATTGACAGTACTGGGAAACTGCTGGTTGGGGCAGACTTTGTCAACAAGGGCACCTGCACGATGATCACTTGTATACCCAGCCCTGAATCTATACTACATCTATAAATTTAAAAAAAATTCTAGAGTTTAAGAAATCAGTAGAGCCGGGCTCAGTGGCTCAGCCTGTAATACCGTGCCTTTGGGAGGCTAAGTGAGTGGATTGCCTGAGCCTGTGGGTTCGAGACCCACTTGGGCAGCGAGACCTCATCTCTACAATAAATCAAAAAATCAGCTGGGCGTGGTAGTGCATACCTGTAATTCCGGCTACTTGGAAGACAGGTGGAAGGATCGCGGGAGCCCAGCAGGTGAGTCTGCGATGTCCGGGAGCAGCCACTGCACTCCAGTCTGGGTGACCAAGTGAGACTCCAACTCAAAAAAAAAAAAAAAATCAGTAGAAAGTAAGGACTACAGGAATTAAACATGAATATAAATAAATGACATCAAGTCAATAGCAACATTAAAAAAGGACAGATCCGCAAATAGTTAGGGGACACTGAACACCACCTACACCCTGATTTTACTGATGTGAGAGTTGTATTCCAGAACCACTGCAAATCGAATGTGGATTTTTGCAACAATGATGAATTTTCCTCTCACACCTGGTAGGATGAATAATATCAATAAGAAAGATAAGTCTTGACAAGATGTGAAGAAAAAAAATTCTGTACACTGTGAGTTTTAAATTAATACAGTGATTATAAAAACAATTATTAAATAATTTCAAAAAATGAAAATACAGTGATTATAAAAGCCATTATTAAATAGTTTCAAAAAATGAAAAATTAAACTACAATCCAGAAATCCCCTTTCTGTGTATATATCCAAAGGAAATAAAATCAGCATATTAAAGAAGTAGCTACACCCCTATGTTCACTGCAGCAGTTGTCACAATGGCCATGCTATGAAAACAACCAAAATGTTCGTGGGTGCTGAATGGAGAAGAAAATTTGTATGTATACACAATAGAATATTATTCAGCCATAAAGAATCATAGCATCCCACCATTTTAACATCACAGATGAAGCTGTAACACATATAAATGAAGTAAGCCAGGCACACAAAGAGAAGTATGGCATTTTCTCACCTATGTGTGGAATAAAAAAATATTGCACTCATACAAGCAAAGAGTAAAATGGAAGGGCCAGGGCCTGCAGCTGGGGAAAATGGGAGATGTTGAAAAGGTAAAAAATGTAGTGAGTTTTAGGAATCTAATGTCCTAGTGAGTATAACTGATAAAAGTCTTGTATCCTTAAACATTTGCTAAAATAATAGACATTGTGTTCTCATTATTTCAAAAACAGTAACTGTAAAGTGTCAGATATGTTTACTAACCTGATTGTATTCATATTTCACAATATATAAACAGATCAAATCATTACATGATACACAATAAATATATGATTATACAATATTTGTAAAAAATAATACACATTAGACACACAAATACATAAACACATATATAGATCAACTATGTCCATATATATATTACCTAGTCATAAGCTTAATACTGAAAGAAAATTATAAAATAAGAGATTTTTTCTTTCTTTTTTCTTTTTTGAGTTGGAGTCTCACTCCGTTGCCGAGAGTGGAGTGCAGTGGCACGCACCCGGCCACCGCAACCTCGACCTGCTTGTCTCCCGTGATCCTTCTGCCTCAGCAGTCTGAGTAGCCAGAACTACAGGCACAAGCTACCATGCTCGGTAGCTACAATATTTTTGAATTATGGTAGAGAGGAGGACTCACCAAATGCCCAGGCAGGTCTTGAACCTGCGGGCTCAGGCAATCCACATGCCTCGGCCTCCCAGAGTGCTGGGATTACAGGCTGAGCCACCGAGCCTGGCCTAAAATAAGAGTTAAGAAACAAGGTAACATGTGGAAGTTTGATATATGTTTAGTAATGTTCTAAGCGATAACATGTTTTAAAAATTGGGAGCCAGGCTTGGTGGCTCAGCCTGTAATCCCATGCCTTTGGGAGGCTGAGGTGAGTGGATTGTCTGAGCTGGTGGGTTCGAGACCCACCTGGGCAGCGAGACCTCATCTCTACAATAAATCAAAATGAGCCAGGCATGGTAGCGCACACCTGTAATTCCAGCTACTCGGAAGGCTGAGGCGGAAGGATCACCGGAGCCCAGCAGGCGAGGCCAGTCTGGGTGACAGTGTGAGACTCCAACTCAAAAAAAAAAAATGGGGGTTATAGAATTTAAATTGCCAATCTCCATTTAAAATAAAACCATCAAATTGTAAAGTAAAATAATGTTAGGTTTTCCAACATTTAGAGACCGCCTTAGGATAGGAAATTATAAAGCAGAAAACATATAACATTTGTCTAGCAAAAAACACTACTCTCAAATATTTCAGTCAGGATGCAAACAGAGAAATGAAAAAATAATATAACATTGAGTTTCTAAAAACCAAATATTCCCAAAAGGAATAGAAGAACACTCAGATCATACAGTCTGTTATAAACCATGAAAAGGACTTTGATTTCCCATATAACCTTAAAAGATCACCAAGAGGAAGTAGAGTTTTTAGAGAATTTCAGATAATACACCAGTAGATGTCCTTATAGAACAGCAAGAGAAAAAAGAACCCAGAAAACCATTTCCACTGGAGCAGACAAGTGTAAGAAGCTAGCTACATTTCATTCTCTCCTTCCACCTTGACCAGTGTCATCTGCTTCATTCCCTCCCACCTGCCTAGGGCTTTGGGTAATGTGCTGTGTCTCTTCACATCCCAGGGCTGTTTCCTTTGCCCAGACATGTGATCAGGTCTGGGTTAGAGACAGCAAGGCCTGTTTGATTAGAAAAAGTAACACAACCTTTGGTGGGATTCACCAACCACCAAACTATTACTGTGTTCAGTAGACAAAACATTTTATGAGACTTCAGAAAATTAACTTCAAATTACTGTTTTCCAAAAAACACTTAGAAAGTATGTTAAATGTATGGGCCTTTAGCTCTATTGGCCACCACTAGTGAATCGATAACTGATGACAGCAATTAGATTTTAAGGTGCAGGCAATAACATTGTATGCCATTAAATTTCTGAACATACCACTAATAGAGTGAAAGATACAGATTAGTTCAAAAAAGAAAATAGTTCATGTCAAAACACCGAAAAATCACAAAGTTTTTCTTGAAATTCCTTTGAGCAAAGCAGAAACTCCCAGAAAACATTCTAGAAAAGAACTATAACAATGAGGTCATATGGATATATTTTAGCATATTAAAGAAAGTTTAGTAATTATTATTATTATTTTGAGAAGGAGTCTCGCTCTGTCCCCAGGCTGGAGTGCAATGGGATGCTCACAGCAACCACAGCTTCGACCTGCTGAGCCTAGGCGATCCTTCCAATTCAGCCTTCCAAATAGCTGGAACTTCAGGCATGCGCTACAATGCCTGGCTTATTTTCTGATTTATTGTAGACACGAGGTCTAACCAAGTTGCCCATACTGGTCTCAAACTCCCAGACTTAGGCGATCCTCTTGTCTCGGCCTCCCAAATTACTGGGATTACAGACTGAGTCAGCAGCACAGTCAGTAATTACTTTTAGTATTAAATTTTATTTTTAATTTTTTAAGTTGGAGTCTCACTCTTGTCACCAAGGCAGAAGTGCAGTGGCAAGCTCATGGCTATGGCAGCCTTGACCTGCTGGGCTCAGATGATCCTTCCACATCAATCTTCCAAGTAGCTGGAACTAGAGATGAACAACATCACGCCCCACTAGTTTTTGTGATTTATTGTAGAGAAGAGGTCTCACCAAGTTGTCCAGGCTGGTCTTGAACCCCTGGACTCAGGCAGTGCTCTCTCTCCCACCTACCAAACTGCTGGGCTTACAGCAGAAATTGTAATTATTTTTTCTTGAGTTGGAGTCGCCCCCCCATTACCCAGGCTGGAGAGCAGTGGCACACAGACTTGACCTGTTGGGCTCCAGTGATCCTTCCACCTCAGCCTTCCAAGTCTCCAGCCTGTAGACAGGCACAACAACATCTGGCTACATATTTATTTATTTTAGTGATGAGGTTTCACCAAGTTGCCTGGGTAGGTCTCAAATACGCAGACTCAGGCAATCCAGTCACCTCAGCCTCCCAGAGTGCTGGGATTACAGAATGAGCCACTGAGCCTGGCCAGAATTTATAATTTTAAAGCTTAAATAATAAAAACCCAAGTCTAATACTATTACTAAGTGTTCTATACAGTGTTTAAAAAAGAATTAACACCATTTTACTCTATATTGTCCCAAAGGTGGAAGAGGAGGAAACACTTTCCAATAGTTTTTGGAACCTGGTATTCTCTTCAAACACAATCAAAGAAAGGTAGTACAACAGATGAAAACTGCAAAAGCAGTGTGCCTCTTTCGTGTTGATTTGGAAATCACTAAAACAACATTATTAAACAGAACCACATCTCTTCATCCATGGGTGAATTTCTACTAGAAATCATAAAGACAGGGGAATCCAAGGAAGTTAAATCAGTTGTAGCCAAGCTTGGTGCATCAGCCTGTTATTCCAGCACTTTGGGAGCATGAGGTGAGTGAACTGCCTGAGCCAGCGAGGTTTGAGACAAGCCTGGGCAAGTTGGTGAGACTTCATGTCTACAGTAAATCAAAAATTAGCTGAGCATTTTAGCATGCACCTGTATTTCTGACTAATTGGAAGGCTGAAGTGGAAGGATCACTGGAACCAGCAAGTCGATGCTTGGGTGGCCATGAGCATGCCCCTGCACTCCAGCCTGGGTAATGAAGTGAAACTCCATTTGAAAAAAAAAAATCTTCGCTGTAAAAATTCTGCCTCCTTAGTCAGCACAGAAATGCAAATTAAAACATCGAGCCGGGCTCAGTGGCCCAGCCTGTAATCCCATGCCTTTGGGAGGCCGAGGTGAGTGGATTGCCTGAGCCCGCAGTTTCATGACCTGCCTGGGCAACTTGGCGAGACCTCATCTCTACAATAAATGAAAAATGAGCCAGGCATGGCAGCACATGCCTGTAGTTCCAGTTGCTTGGAAGACTGAGGCGGAAGGATCGCCAGAGCCCAGCAAGTCCAGGCTGCAGTGGCCGGGAGTGGCCACTCCACTCCAGTCTGGGTGTCAGAGTGAGACTTCAATTCCAAAAAAAAAACAAACAAAAAAAACACATTGAGATACCACCTAACTCAAGTCAGGATGGCCACCACCAGTAACTCAATAAACAACAGATGCTGGACAAGATGAGGGGGAAAGGGAACACTTCAACACTGTTGTTTGGAGCATAAACTAGTACAACCTCTGTGGAAAACAGTTTGGTGATTTCTGAAAGGTCTGAAAGTTGCCCTTCCACATGACCCCACATTCCCCCTACTAGAAATATACCCAAAGGAACTCAAATCACTCTGAAAAAGATACCTGCATGTGCATGCTTCTTGCAGCATTGTTCACAATAGCAGAAACTTAGAACCACTTGTGCTGCTCATTGAAAGATGACTGGATAAAAAAAGTGGTATACACACGATGGAATATTACACAGCCATAAAAAAGGACAAAATTTTGAACTTCAAAGCAACTTGGATGGACTTAGAGTTTATAATACTGAGTGATCTATCACAGAAGCAAAGAACTGAGTGTCACGTGTTCTCACTCAAAAGTGAACCTTGAGCAATGGCGCTAATACTATGAGAAAAGGATTGTCAGTGGTGGGAAATTGCCAGGGGGACATGGGATTGGCAGTAGTGTGACCCTGCCAGAGGACTCAGGCACCTCATCAACAAGGGTCCTGGCATAATGAACATTTGTATACTTAATGCTGAATTGTACCCCACATCTTTAAAATAAAAAAATCATAATTGTACATACTTGCCTTTTTTTTTTTTTTTTTTTTTGAGTAAGAGCCTCACTCTGTTACCCAGACTTGAGTGCAGTGGCTGCTGTTGGCTACCGCAGCCTCGACATGCTGGGCTCCGGGCATCCTCCTGCCTCAGCCTTCCAAGTAGCCAGAAGTACAGGCACATGCTACCACACCCGGCTAAGTTTTTGTTTTATAATAGACATGAGGTCTTGCCAAGTTGCCCAGGCAGGTCTTGAACCCGCGGGCTCAGGCAATCCACTCACCTCAGCCTCCCAAAGTGCAGAATTACAGGCTGAGCCACTGAGCCCGGCTAACATTTATCTTGATTACTTTGAATTTTTAATTCTATCTGTCCATCTATGGAACCACCATTAAATTCTATGGTCTACGTCAGATGGTGCCTACAGTTAAATAGAAAAAGGTACACAGCATTTTTCTATTCTCTCTGATGCCTAATTAATAGTCCCTGGAGTCAGATTGTTGAAAATATAATAAATATATACCTTTTTGAACAGAAAGGATAGAAGCAATTCCAATATTTAAATTTCAATCTCTGTGAATATACTGACATGTTAAAACTAATGTAGCAAACAATACTGACTAGATTACATGCTTTTCTTCCAGAATACAGAGATGGATAACCTTGAATCCAGTTTCATCATAAATGTCTTTATCCAGTGTCAAAATTAATTTCCTTATAAATCAAAAAATAGTTTTCACAAAATAAATGTTAAAATTTTGAAATATTGACAAAGGGAAAGCAAATCAATTTGAACAATTAGACATTAGTGTAGAAAATTATGTACAAGGATCTGACTACAGCATTTTTATAATCGTGAAACTAAAAATAATCTATATTTCTACAAGGAATTAACAGTTAAAAAATAATAGAATAGAATGCACCCATTCTTCAGAGCACACTTTAAAATAGTAAGTTAGAATCATGTGAACTGATATGAAAATGTCAACAATACATAGGCTGAGAAAGAGCACAATTTAAAAGAAAATATAGTTTGGCATAATTTATTCTAATAAAAACTTTATATTTATTTATATAGTTATAAAAACTATTCAGAAAAATAAACACAAACATCGTAAAAATAATTCCTCCTAAGAAGAAAATGAGTTTGGAGGGAAGGGATGCAAGAAAAGACTTTCATTTTGTGGAGATCTTCATGATTTGGCTTTTGCTTAGAACATGTATCTTATAAAATTAGAAAGTAAAGAATGTTGGTACCTTTTGGTAGGAGGGCAACAATTTTATTTTTATCAATATTTGCATTGTGTTTTAGTGTAGTACACCACCTGTAAGAAAAAGCTGAAAAGAATAATTGGAACAAAGAGAGTTCAGCTGCAAACATTAGGATTATCTGTACATAACAAATTTTCCAGGTGAGGAGTTGTCAGGATCTATGACAACTCCAGATCAGAAAACCTAATCCCAGCTAAGGGTAAGACAGAGGACAGGGAAGGTCAAGTGTCAGCTAGTTCTCTTCCTCACCTATTTTTGCAATTTCTCTATCAAGTAGAAAATGGACCTAGAATGGGACATTTAACCTTGGGATGTGGTCAGAGAATCAAAGAAGAATATGCAATAAGCGTACATAATTTAGAGGTAGATTCAAGATTAAGTTTTCAAATGCATCAAAAAATTTGTGACATTAATGAAGCAACTCGACTTGTCCAAATATCCACTTTCCTCACCCGTAAAATGAAGATCAGAGGCCTATTTCATCAAGAGATTGGAAGAGTTAAATTCACTGAGATAGTTAAAAGTGTCAGCTACTGCAAGTGTCCATATTTTTTTGTGGTGGGTGGGTGTTGGAGTCTCACTCTGTCATCCAGGCTTTAGTGCAGGGGCAGGTTCACAGCCTCCAGAGACTACCTGCTGGGATCAGACCTTAGTCTTCCAAGTAACTGGAACTAGAGACACATGCTACCATGCTCAACTAATTTTTTGTTGAGATGAGTTTTTTGCCAAGTTGCCCAGGATGGTCTTGAAAGCTGAGCTCTAGCAGTCCTCTCACCTCAGCCTCCCCAAGTGCTGGGATTACAGACTTGAGCCACCACACCCAGCTAAGTGTTCATCTTATTTAAAAAATAGTATCAGAATTATAATGACACAAAAGAAAAAATGTATTTGAGACCAACTGTCCAACAGCAGTGCATCTGAACAGAGATCACAAGACTCTCTCTCCTCAAATCCCCATTGTAAGATGCACCCTCATGTTACAACACCCTTATAGAAGACTGTGTGTAAGTGTAATAAAAAACTCTCAATGAACTGGGCTTGGTGGCTCAGTTTTAATCCCAGGACTTTGGGAGTCTGAGACAGTGGATTCCCTGAGCCCACTGGCTCGAGATCTGCCTGGGCAACTTGAGAAGATCTCACCTCTCCAATAAATAAAAAAATAGCCAGGCTTGGTAGCTTGTGCCTATAGTTTCAGCTACTTGGAAGGCTGAGGTGAAAGGATCACCAGAGTGTAGCAGGTCGACTCTGGGGTGGTTGGGAGCATGCCGCAGCACTCCAGCCAGGGCAGCAAAGTGTAACTCCAACTCAAAATGAATAAATAAATAAACCATTAACTAAAGATAAGATAGGAGGAGTACAATGAGCATACTGAGTGATGGAGGAGGGATGTATGCCCTCGACTATACAGATTGCCCTCACAGGCCCTATTTAAAATAGAAAAAGCGCTAGTGTTTTGGTGTGGTTTCCCTACAGCGTTTCTTTCCTCCATGTTCATAAATGCCATACTTCCCCTGCTTTTTTAAAAATGGTGCTGATGACCTCACATGCAATAAATCCTACAGGGGTAAATTGTTCACAAATTACCATAATGAGGTCTCATTTCCATGATCATGTTTTTTAAGTTTGCTGATGGTATTTATATTTTGAAATCACAAATAAAATCCATTGGAACATGTGATATGAACCATGTTTTATTTTTAATGTAGATTTTCACACAGGTTTGCACATTACATATAATGACATGAAAGCTAGTTCATCGGGAATCAAAAGACTTGTCTCTGAGGTCATGGGAATTCAGGTACATCAATTTTAGGAGGCTACTTGGAGGCAGAAATGCTCCCAAAGGTTTCCATTTCCTAGACAGAAAAATTCTTCAGATAGGCCCCAGGGAGTTAGGTGGATCCTTCACTGCTGAGGGTGAGAAAACTTTCATTCAATGCAGAAGGGCTGAACCAATAGGTTTCAAAGGCTTCCAAGTACCCCAAACCTTGAAACCCCAAACCTTGAAAGTCGCCATCCCAAAGCTGAGTCACCAACTGTCCCTGAGGGATCAAGTCACCATCTGTGTCTCTGACACAATGTCCAGTCAGGCCTCAGTTGAAATGAGCTGGATGATTTTAAGTGTAAGATGCCTGAACCACTGCATCAGCTTCAAGTTGGTTTCACATACACTAAAATGGGTTGGTAAAAATGGTCGACTAAGCTGGCCGCGGTGACTCATGCCTATAATCCCAGCACGTTGGGAGGCCAAAGTGAGAAGACTGCCTGAGCTCACAGGTTTGGGACCTGCCTGGGTAATTTGATGAGATCTCATCTCTATAATAAATAAAAAATTATCCAGTCATTGGAGCGCATGCCTGTAGTTCCAGCTACTTGGAAGGCTGAGGCAGAAAGAACGTCAGAGCCTCGCAGATCAAGACTGCAGTGGCTGTGATTGTGCCCCTACCCTCTATCCTAGAC